AATTCTCCAACTCCTTCCTTATTCCCACCTCCTTTACCCTCTGGATCCCAATTTCTCCTGCAGGAGGCTGAGATTGAAGAGAGAGGTCTCAGACACCCTTCAGACACACAGAGCCCTGAGCAGACCTGTACCCAGAAGTCCCTCATCTTTGTTTTTGAGAACCCTTTCTCTTCCTCTTCCTCTTGGAACCAACAGGTCCTTCTCTTCCTTAAGAGATAAGACACAGAGTTATACACTCTAGGGTGACCACCTTGTCTCGGTGTGCCCAAGACTTTCTGGTTTTAGCACCAAAAGTTGGAAACCCCTCAGTTCTAAGCAGACAGCCATGGACGGCCATCCCACAAATCCAAGTGAAGAGAGAGGAGTGTCGCCATTGCCATCGTAGGGTCTCTGCTGTTATGAAAGGACTGATTGATCCTGTATGGGGGATCACACTCAGTTAGTCTGCCGCACTGGGTCCAGGTGGCTAATTTACCCCATAATTACCAGCGCTGCACTCCTTGTGGCCTGGTGATGCATAAGGGTTTTGTTTCCTCAGAACAAAAATTGAAAGTCAAGACATTTCTGCACAGGTAGAGAAGTAACACTTGTTCCCTTCTCCCTGACCTCCCCAGCCAGGACTTACTTGTCACTCCAGAGGCTACAAGGGCAACCCTTTCACTCTGGCCCTCTGGGGCCTCCTCCTCTTCCTTGTGATGCCACAGGCAGGCCCCCGAGAACCCCCAAGTATGTTCAGAGCACACCTTTTGGTTGTCACTGCCTCCCTCCCCACCACAACTAAAAACAAGGTTCACACCTCTTTAACCAAGGGAGTTTCCACACCTCACTGCATCCTTTTCATTCTGGTTTTACCAAGACTGTGTCTCTGCCAAGGTGAGGGCCCACCCTTCCAGGCAGGGCTTTGCTTCTCCCTTCCCGCCAGGGCTTTGCTTCTCCCTTCCCAGCCTCCGCTTTGTGTTCTGGCCCATCTCTGCATCTTCCCAAAATCCTTCTGGCGTGAGGTGGGTTAAGCCTTTCTGACCTGGGCGTCTCAGGCTGGGATGGAGTGCCCATCCCCCCGGGAGAGCGTACGCTTTCTTCGTTTTAAGCCGCAGCCCCCCTTTTCTCAGAGATGAACCTCTGCTTGTGACCCTAATCAATCATATTTAGTTTAACCACATAACATGGCTGATGTGCTACCCCTTTTGAGCTCACAAATGTCAGTTTCAAATGGTTCAAGCTGAAATATGGGGAGACGGGGACATTCCTACTCCGTGCACGTGGCTTATGGTAGTGGCCCATCTTCCCAGATGCGCAGCTGTGTGAGAGTGGAAATAGTCAAGCCCTCAGTGATCATAAGTTAGGTACCACCCTCTTCCTTCTCCATTTTCCCCCAGTGAAAGGAACTGACACAGTTGGCCTTGAGAGGAGGTCAAGGACAAGGAAGATTGCCTGGTATCTCTTCATGCCTGTGCTCAGTCCTGTGGCCCAGGAACTCTGTGCTGGGGCATTGGCTTGCTTTTGCCAAAGCTGCATGACGTAGGTTTAATTTCCACTCCCAGCACTGTGCCTTATACACAGGGACCTCCTCTAAATCTTCCAGCGGGTGTCCTTGGGTCACTGAGGAGGGAGAACAGGGAGGTGGGCAGACTCGGGCTCTCCCGTGGCTGTTTCTCTGGCCAAGTGACCCTGGGTGAACTTGGAACCTCTGAGTCTGACATTCCTCATCTGCAAGACTGAGACTCATTTTCATGTCTGCCCACAGTGCTGTTCTGAGGACAGCACCTGGCATGGTGTGTTGCACATAGCAGGCACTTAATAAATGCATTTGGTGAGGAAGCAGAAGGAGAAGCATTTCAGACCATCATCCAGTTTGCCTGTGAACGCTTGTGTTGTTCACTCCCACCCAAGGTATTGGTCTGTAAAGTTGGTTTTATTTTTTTCCCTGAAATAAAAAATATTTTCTTTTCAGGTTTTTTTTTGGGGGGGGTGGAGAGGGTACATAGGGGAGTAAAAAAAGCATACCTTTACTGAGTTTTTACTCAGCTGTCAGGCTCACTGCTAAACACTTATTACCTGTTTTGGGAAAAACATTCATGAATTGCCTTGAAGTTTTAAAAATAAAAATAAACAAAAATATAATATGAGTTATATGAAAAATTAAAATAAATAAGTAAGCAAATAGTCTAATATGATAACCAGCACATAGTACATGCTCAAGAAATGGTAGCCAACACATAACAGGATACTTCTCTCTACTTTATGGGCAAGTAGATGTGCTCAGAGAGGGTGAGTAACTTGCTCAAGGCCACACAGCTGGCCTGTGGCAGGGCTACTGTTTGGGCCCACGTGTGGCCAGGCTGTCTGCGCTACCCGAGACTGGGAGTTCCTGAGAGAGGAACAGGGTCTCCTTCAGCTCTGCAGACCGATGTTCAACAGAGGGAGAGGCCTTGCCCCAAGCCAATGCCACAGGAATATTTGCAAGAGGATAAATATTGTCTCCTAGACTTTCATTCCAAATTGCTCTGTGGCAGGAATAGTGGCAGTGGCCTTTTGATTGTCCGGTTCCCAGAGGTGCCCAAAGGGCACCCGAGTGTCCTTCCTGATCCTGGCCCAGGGGCCCTTGCTTGAACTCTGGGTGCTTAGTGGATGCCTCGTGTGTTGAATGAAGGAATGAATGAGTGAGCGAATGAATGAATGGAAGGCATACAGAAACAGAAGTGCCGCTTTGGCCACACTTGGAGAGCCCTTGGAGACAAGCCCAGACCCACCAACTCTCCAGGGTCAGAAATCACAGCTGCCCACAGCTGCACACTCCTCTGTGCTGGCCTAGGTTTCTAGGCCGTCTGAGCCCTCAGGCCAGTCTGAACCCAGCTTTGCTGGCTGAGAAGCCCAGAGCATGCGAGGGCACCGTTTACATCAGAAACCTGACAGGAAAGATGTCACTGAATTATGCCACTGAACTTGACAGCCTGATCAAGGGAGGGACCTTTTTAGCAACAGTGGGTCTGAGCTCGGTCGTCCTCCTATTATTTCTGGATCCTCGGAGATGTCCCACGATTGGGAGACAAGCCTAACAATGGGGCCTCCTGGCAGCAGATGGGAGCAGAGCCAGTCCTTGAGGGCGGCCTTCCGGGCAGGCTGAAGGGCCACCAGGGGTCTGATTGGCTGGACACCGGCTTTCCCGGCCCCTGAGGACAGCAGGAACCAAGTGCAGGAATCCGAGGAGATAAGCCTTTTTTTCAGGGCCTCCTCAGCTGGGTCTCATACAGATGGGGATTAGAGAGGAGAGATGCGTGCTGGATGAGTTGAGGGCTGTGGCAAGAACAGAAACCGCTCCAGGCTGCTGTTCTCAGGCCTCCTCAGCCTCCCGTCCCCTCAGTCAAGGTTTACTAAATGCTGTTGAACTGCAAGAGTTTGAGCTGAGCCCAGAAGTAGAGCTTTGAGTGCACGTGGGTTGCATACTCCGGTAGAAATGAACCTGCCCAATCAACTCACTCGCTCGTCTCCCGTCTCCGATCCTGCTCTGCTTCCTCTGGCCCACTTCCTTTTCTCAGGCCTGCTCATTAATATTTCAACTTTTTTTGGGTCGCCATTTACCCATTGTTTCCAATCAGCTTCCCTGTTCTCTACTTCCCTTTTCATTTAAGCGGCCTGGGTCCACTTTCCTCTTCTGTCCCACATCCTTTTTGGGCTGCTTCCCCCATCTTTTGGCTTCACATCCTGCTTACTGTCTGCTACACCCAGTGCATCCTTTTTTTGTTTTGTGTTGGTTTGTTTTTCCCTCGTTGCTCTCTGCTTATGGCTTTTTAGACCCCTGAGTGAAGACCAGGTTTGAGGTTCTGTTGGTTTCTAATGCCAAGAAAAGTGTGGTTGAATGTTTTACTTTTGCAAAGGAAATTAGAGGATGGTAAAGATTGCTTGAGCCCTGACCCCAGCATTCTGCATGGGGGTGCCACCGTGCTGAGAATGTTCCAGAGCCTGAAGCTATCCTCGGAAAGCCCAGTGTGGAAGGAGAGGAAGCTACCATTCTCGGGTGCCCCATGAGTGCCCCGCTCCATGCACAAGACCCTATTTCATTCCCTCGACAACCGCCCATGAGAATGGTTGTCCTTCTTGTATGACTGAACCAACAGCAGCTCTGAGAGATCTGGGAAACTCGTCTAAGGAGCAGCAGAGCCAGAATTTCAGCCCATATGAGCCTCTCCACAGAGCCACGCTCACTGCACAGCACCAGGCTCTCCCTCTTGGAGCAGAAGTCTGCAGCTTATCGCAGACCACTTCTCTAGATCTAGAACTGAGAAATAGCAGACTCAACACCCCCTGGAAAGAATATGACCCATGATGCCAGCCTGAACACTTGTTCTGCATTTTTCCCCTCTGGACTCAGAACCCACAAGGTCTGACCCTGAGGGGAAAGGCAGGAAGTCGGGAGATGAAGGTGGGGGGTGGATATTCACCTCTCCAGCCAGGACTAGGGGATCCTCACTGCCAGACCCCCAGAATCTAGCTCTCATCAATGCTGGTGAAGAAATTTGGAATCTTTTTCTCTGGAGAAGAAGAGGCTGAAGGCTGTAGGGTCAGCTTATTTCCTGCCTTCAAATATATGGTGACGCAGTACCCTTCTCATGATGAGCATGGAGTAAAGTACGCAATTGTTGAATCACTATATGGTACACCCGAAATTCATATAACACTCTATGGTAACCATACTGGAGTTAAAACAAAAAGTTAACAAAAAATAGGGTGATGCTTTTCTGAGCTGTGTGCTTCACAGGGGCCCACATATCCCACAGACGGCTTGGAGACCCTGGGCAGCTCACTCTGGCTCTGCCTCAGTTTCCTCATATGTGAAATGAAAGCATTGGACCAGACGGTCCCTAAGGGCCTGGCCAGCTCTGGCACACTTAAGTTTCCAACAAGAACCAAACTCAAGCACAACGTGAGTCCTGGGTCAGGGAGAGCATGGCCTAGTGTCAAGAGAAGTGGCGGCTCATGAACATGAATCTTCTGGGCTCACAGCCTGCCAGCATCCAGGTGGGGTTCTGTTTGGAGACAGAGAGCTGGGTCAGTTGACTGTGGTCCTAACAAGTCTTGAGCTTCACTTTGCCCTGGATGGGAGGCTTTTGGGTCTGGGCCCAAGCCTACACCCCCTGCTGTTTGGGCGCCGGAGTCTTACCAGGTCCTGATGGTTTTCCCATTTACAGAGACAGCTAACTTCCTGAGACACCCTGTGGGATGCAGGGAGAAGTGAGGATGAGAAGGCAGAAGAAGGGCAGATGGAGGGGACCCGAATTGCATGCAGAGGAGCTCTAAGGGCACATTTTACACCTTGCAGCCCCTCCCCTGTGCAGGTGACCTGAGTGGCCCTCTCTATGTCAGCAAGCAGCCCACCTGAAACAACACGGCCTCACCCACCCACCAGCGTTTGGACCGGCCACACGGACGCCCCTCCAAGACCAGCAGCAGGAGAAAACAACCCTGAGACTGCACGGTGAGCCGCCCTTTTACCGAAGCCGCTGTGGTTCTGGGTTTGACGCGTCTCCCTCTCGTTTCCTCTTTCAAGTACACTATGCCATTTTCTTATTTCTGCCCCACTGTGAGGTTCTGAAAGGAAATGCTTTAGGACTTTTGTCTAGTAATTGAGGAAGAGGTGGATTTTAAATTAATTATTAATTAAGCCAATATCTGTTATGTATCTTAACCATATGCCTGTGTAAGGACAAATAAAAATAATGCATAAGAGGTTTACTTCTCCCCCTTGAAAGTAAGGGAAGAGAGTCTCTTTTGCCACCTCCTTCCTAGGATGCTTGCTTTAGAAAACTTGTCACTGGAAGTACATTCTCCTCTCTGAAATGTAGGTATGTGTCCTTTTGAAAATGTGATCACCTCTTTTGTCAGCTTTATGACCCAGGAATCTTTCTCAAGGACCTGGGGGCCTTCTCTTTGAAAAGTAAACACCAAGAATCAGCGCCCTTGGGGCGCCTGGGTGGCTCAGTGGGTTAAGCATCTGCCTTCAGCTCAGGTCATGATCCCGGGGCCCTGAGATTGAGCCCCGCATCAGGCTCCCTGCTCAGCGGGGAATCTGCCTCTCCCTCTCCCACTCCCCCTGCTTGCATTCTCTCTCTCTCAAATAAATAAAATCCTAAAAAAAAAAAAAAGAATTAGTGCCCCTGTCACCCAGTTTCTGTGGAAGGGTAGGAGCCTAACATGGGTGGGTGCCTCGCTCCAAGTTACAAAAATAAGTCCCGTCATAAAGATATGAGTCTATTTCTTCTCGGGATGAAGCCCATCAGCTAACACAGATGGTCACCCCAGTTACCATGGTAAAGTTAGGATGACTGTGTGTGACTGTTGAGTTCTCTCGAGTAAGGACTAGGTATATGTCTCTCACGTTAGGGACTGTATCTGCTTGGCTGTGTAAAACGGTGAGATTTTTTCCCCCCATCTCTGCAATCTCTTAGCAGATTGCCCGAGATGGGCATCACATTCTGGTTTCATGCCAAGTTAATAATAAAGGTGTTTTCTTTCTCTATTAGCTCTGTGAGAGGTTTTCCTGGGTTGGAGATCTTATTTTTAATTTTATTTCCCCAACACTAGGCTCTGTGCTCCATTCGGTGGAGGTAAAAATGGCTAAGATACAGTCTTTAAGTTGCTGTTAATGTTCAGTAACAGAATATAAGAAAATATTTCCCTTAGGGAAAACCCAAGGATTGGATCATTTAAGCTGAGTCTTAAAGCTGAGTGTTTCTTCCAGGTAGACAAATGTGGAGGTGGGAAGCGGGGGTGGGGGTATTGAAGCCAAAGGCACTGGAGGGTCTGAGTACAGGGATGTTTCCCGGGATCAAGACTCCGCAGAGGGGGTGTGAAGGAATATACTAGAAACAGAAGGAAGTGAGGATGATGGGGTTAGAAGGGGCCGGCATGCTCCTGGAGTCTTCATGGAAGTCGAGTTTAGTCTGTGTGGAGGATTCAGGAAAAGATGCAGAGAGCAGGAGCCGAGAAGACAGAAGAGAGGTGAACAGAGGGTCCTCAAATTCCACGCTAAGGAACTGTAGGAGAATTATAAGACTTTGAAAGAGGGGGGAAATTACTGGGTGCCCTGGCTAGCACACCCTTCAGGGCTACCTCCCCCTTTCATTTTCTGGCCCATATACAGCTCTGTAAGTTCAGGAGACTGATAACAATGCAATAATCTTGTTTGCAGGAATAGAAACTGTGTCTGGTGGAGACGTGCTTGATAACTGCCCCGTGGTTAGGGACCAATTTTGCAGGTATCTGTATGTTCTTCCCAGCGTTTCTGGAAGTATCTCATCCACTCTACTGCTGTGGCTGGTGTCTGCTCATTGCCATTGGTGAACAGGTGGGCATCGTGTGAGCGTTCCACGGTGATCTTTTCCACTGTTGATGCACACCTGGGTGGCTTTCGGCCCAGGACCGCTGTGGATAACACCGTCACGAACAGTGGTGTGTGTGTATCTACATCTCCCACAGCATGGATGCATTTTAAAAGTATTTGAAAAAGAAAATGAACTTTCTTGGGGGAGGGGAAATCCTAAAACTCCCTGGCTTTTCTCTGAGCTCAGCTGAGAACCTACAGAGCAGAGACTGCGGAATCTGTCAGGCTGAGATGGCCAGATAAAGGTCAAGCAAGGAGAAATGAGAGGCCCGGTCAGTCCTCGCCTGGGTCCTCCATGTAGTTCCTCCTCTCATGCACCCACGTGTGTGTCCACTCTGAATTTCTGAGACTGTTTTCCCATGACACAAACCTTCTGAGCCCGTGTCCTCACAATGATTGTAACAGCATATGTTAATAGTGGACATCGAATTTGTGTTCATTCATTAAAATAGTTGTCATTGTAAATGCAATAGGTGCTCTTTGTAACAAATGTAGGTGGCACAAAAAAAGCATGGAAAGAAAAGGAAAAACAACATAGAAGCGAACGAGCTACCATCCAATTTCCCAGAATCAACCACAGCTAGCTTTCTGTCTTTTCCCGTGCAATTGTTCTGCGTGTTTTTATATTTATATTAAGTGTCGTTATATTTACATTTAAGATGCAAGTGTTCTATTAAACCATTTTTATTATAAAATTTTCAGACATAAATAGAAGCAGAGAGCACCCCCAGGTGCGCACCACACAGCTTCAATTAGCAACTCATGGTCACGATTTCATCTATTCCCCACTCCGTGTCCTACCAGATTATTTCAAAATAAATTCAGGTGTCATACCATTTCACCCATAAGCAGGTAAGTATGAGTCTCCAAAAGAATAAGAACTCTTTTTAAACAAAATAGTAACTTTGATACTATTTCTCACTTTAAGAAGTTACTAAATCCTCACGATCATCCAGATGCAATTTCAAATGATGCTTCTTTCAGGTAATACCTACCCATGAACATTCTCCATGCCCCTAACATGTAATTACTGTTGCTTCTAATCATATCCCGTGTCGAGTGGATCAAAGATGGTCTAATCACCCACTGCCCGCCACCCCTCAAGCCCCTTGGACATTAGGCTGCAACAGCTTTGGGAAAACGGTCTCTCTTGTTAGCGTGGAAAGCAAACCAGCATCTGTACCCCCCCGTGACCTCTGACCACGCCCCGCCCTGCAAACCCACAGGTGCTGGCAAGTTCTCTGCTCCTACCTGGGCCGGGCCTGGGAAGGAAATCTCCAGACGTGACAATCAGCCACCTGGTCCCACTGTCTCTGTCTCTGTCACAGAGTATTTCCCTTTCCCTCCCTCTGAGGGCATCTTTATTTGCAAAGTTAGCCAATAGTAGGGGGTTTCCTGTGAGGTAGACTATCTTTAGATGTTGCCTCAGTCAGGCTCAGAAGCTCCAGGCTGGAGGCCATCGGAAGGCAGGAAGGTTTGAAATCACAAACCTGGAGGACGGAGCCGGGGTGGAGGTGGGGGTGGGGGCGGGGAGCAGACCCACCACGGCTTGGAGGAAGCGAGGTTGTGGAGGCTGTGTTATTTGCTCCATTCGGGGGAGGCCAGGGAGCAATGCAGTTCTCAGGAGCCACTAACGCCCACTGAACCTCAGTTTTCCTGCCTGTAAAAAGGGGCCCACAGCACTCACCGGGCTGCATTGGGGTGCAGATTAAATGAACTACAGCTTCTCTCTCCAAAGGACAGTCCCAGGCACTGGGAGCTTACTAGAAATGCAGCCTCTGGGGCTCCGCCACTGAATGAAACTCTGCATTTTGATGAAATTCTTAGGAGATTGATCAGTACATGGATTTTGAGATGCGTTGGCACAGAAAGCACTTAGTGAGTACCTGGCACCTGGTAGGTGCTTCCGAATGTTTTACTCCTCACCTCCCTCCTCCAAGGCGTTTAGCGACTTCCCTATACCTCTGGTCAAGCCGAAGGTCCATGTCTTCTGGGCACAGGCTTCACCCACAAACTGGCTCAGGCTCGTTCCCCGCTGTCTCCCCAAGCCCGCACTGCTTCTGACTCCTCCAGGCCGAGCCCCTGCTCCCTGCCCCAGCCAGCTTGCTCCCTCTCTGCGGCTCGAACCTCCACTGCCATGATCTCACTGCCTTCCCACCACCTCCTTGCCTGCCCGGCTCAGCCACAAGGCAAACACTGCTTCTGATGGCTCCCTCTCCTGGGGCCTATCCCGGGTCTAGCACCCCTGGCACACGTTTACTAGAGGGTCAGGGACTCCTCCAAGGCCTTCCTGGCTCCTCGCTGCCCGTCTTGCAGCCTGCTCGCCAGCACTGCTGTGGCTCTCGGAGCTTTGTCTGCCCGTGGGCAGGGCTGTCTTGCGTGCTCCCCACCGGGTCTCCGCCTCCATTCTGGCGGCCAGGACAGAGCTGTGGGTGGGACTGCAGTGTCTCGGGCTGGGCGACCTGCTGGCATTTGAGGAAGTCTGCGGCCAGTTTCCCTTCCTCTGGCCGGGAGCCTGCAGCACCCCTTCCTCATCTCTACCCCATAGCCACCTGTCCCAGGGCCCACCCAGCGGGGCCAGCTGCTTCAGCCTCCCTTTGCCTGCCTGAGACACCCTTCCTGCTTCTCTGAGTGCTCCTCTCTGGGACCCTGCCAAGACGCTCTGTCTTCCAGTCACACAGACTTCCTGGACAACCTTGCCCACGGCACCGTCTTCCTGGGCAACCTCATCCACTGCCCTGTTATCCTCATCACCTGTCCTGTCTTCCTGGACAACCTCGCCCACTGCCTCGTCAGTCACCACCTCTGTGCTCTGATTCCCCATCTTTGTCTCCAGCCAGGGCCTGAGTAACCTCCAGTGCCCATTTGTGCCCTTCATACCTCTTGCCATTTACCCCATTGACCATTCTCCTCCATCCGGAAGCCAGAGAACTCTTTCCAAAGTGCGAACTGCCCGCCTAAACCCTCCAGGGTTTCTCCTCACTGTGAGTTTCAGTCCCAGGCTTGTGAACATGGCCTTGGCGTGATCCCACCCCTTTGGACATCCCAACCTGTTCTAACCAACCCCCCCACCCCACCCCAAGTGCATGTGTGGGCTGCTTTTCCCTTCCCAGCTCACCAGGCTGGCAGGCCTGGCTTTGATTTCACTTCCTTGAAGCTAACAAGCCGGCTTCCACTGTCCCATAGGACCTGGAAGCAGACAGGACTGTGACTCGCAGCCCAGCAAGTGCCACGCTTGTGCCAGTTCCCTGACCTCCCAAATTCCAGAACGACGTGCGTGGTGGACCCAGATGGATGCTTGCACACGAAGGAGGCTGCATGACGAGAGAGGAACCGTGAGCTTGAGGAGCACACCATTTTATAGCCAGCAGTGAGCAAGCTGCTCAATGGCCCCGAGGGAGACATTACCTCATCCCTCAGGCTGCAAACACCACCCTGAGAAATGGGCCAAGGAAAGGGCAGCTGGGGCTCTGCATTCTCAGTGCACTCTGAGAGACGGGGGAGCACAGCAACCTTCCCACTCGGGCCACACGTCTGCAGACCTTGGATGAGGCCCCTCAGGTTCTGCCCTGGGGAACTTCTCCTCCCTGGACCCCTGTTCCTCCTTCCCAAGTGCTCCCAAGCTGTGCTGCCTTGGGCCGGTCTCCATCCCTCATTTTCACAGCCCCTTTGGCTTCACCCTTTGAGCTGTTCCTAGTGAAGGGTAACGGAATACGCCAGCACCAAATAAGCCACTTGGGTATATCCATTATTTTGAGCTGCAAGCCCTCGAGAAATAGCAAATACAGGGGGAGATTTCTCCGAACTCTTCCCTATCCGTCTCAAGACAGAGCCTCCAAAAGGAGCTTGGTTGTCACAGATCTTCCCCCCCCGGGGAGTTTCAAGAACCAGGGAGTATTGATGTTGGTCACGAGAGAAGGAACTAGAAGTCCCCACCACACCTAGACACACTTGGTCACAAACCAACATACCTCCCATCTGTTCTTCTATGGACCTGTTCATCTTTCCTACAAATCATTTACTCTCTAAGAGGAATACCCCTCCCCACCCTTTCCCTACGAGGCTGGTATTTAAGCCTGAATTCTAATCCACCCTGAGGAGGCACTTATTTTTCTCTGCGTACCTCCCATGTATATATGACACATACGTGTTAAAAACCTTTTTGTGTTTCTTTTGGCAATCTGTCTTTATGACAACAGCCTCAGCCTAGAACTTAGAAGGGTAGAGGGAAAATTATTTTTCCTCCCTGACAGTTTCTGGTGACCCAGACGGGACCTCTGAGACGCCTTACAGATAAGAGTCTGGGAACACCGGCAAAAGCCAGTGAAGGATAAGAATTGTCTTCCCCACACTTGCTTGTAAGTCCTTGTCGCCCTTGGTTTCTCCTCCGGTTGAGCCAGTAACTGCCTACCGTAGCCTGGTTTCTGTTGGGTGGAGGGGTGAGGGGTGCGGGGCGGGCTTCTAGGCAAGAGAGGCCTTGGGGTTGGTGGGGACAGCTTGGCAGTGATGTACACGGACACACGAGGCAGGTGAGGACTGGAGACTTGGTTTGAATAAAGCTCTGTGGGAGAGACACAGCAAAGGGAAATGGGGATACGATTATGCCTTGAAGGCCAGGCTAGTGTGTTCCCACTTTATACTACAAGCTGAGGGGGGCACTGGGGGTAAGCCCAGCAAACCTTTACTCTGCACAGCAGATGTGCTAGGCAGTGAGCTAAGTCCTCTGGGCACGTGCACTCATGTAACCCGGTGGCCCCAGAAGCACCCGTGACACGTACAGTTGAGGACACTGAGGGGAGAGGTGATGGGACTTGCTCAAGACCACACAGCTTGTACGTGGCAGAGCCAGAACTTGAATTTAGCCTTTAGGTTTCCTGGTCTATGCCACGCATTCTTGGTGTGTGTGTGTGTGTGTGTGTGTGTGTGTGTGACATTGCTTCCCGGGGGTGACAATTGATTCTTGCGCTTTGTGTCTACAGAGCAGATACACACACAGTCTGTAAACAGATAACGTATCTATGTTGTAGAAATTTCATGAGAGGTGATTAAGAATATAATGTCTAAAAAGACCTCCACGGCGGATGATAATGGAAAAAAGGTTGAGAAACCATTGTCTCTGCTCTTAATCAGACCACGGAGCTGTGTCTTGTGCTTAAAACCTGGGGTCAGGGAGGAATAGGAGAAGAGTAACATCTTCAGAGAAACACACCAGTGGCTGAGCGGACGTGAGGGAAAGCTGCCGGGGTACAAGGGGAGGAGCAGGTGCGTGTCAGGCGCTTCCCCGGGCCAGGCGCTGGGCTAGGTACATCGCCTATAAGGTCTCCTTTTGACCTTCACCTTCACATTTTCAGATGAGGAGATGAGGAGACAGGAGCAACAGGTCCTCGGCCACCAGCTGGAAAAGGGCTGGGGCAGGACTTGAACTTCCTGATTCTGAATGTCGGCCGGGAGAAGGCCGTGGAGGGGGTGGACCGCAGGCGAGAGAGGCTGATTTGGCTAATGGAGCGTGCACAGAATCGGTGAAAGATCAGGCTGATCTAGGAACAAGCGAGGAGCCGGGGACCGTTTTGCTGTCAACAAGTCAGTACCATCAGACCAGAAGGCTTCAGAAGCAGAAGGAGTTTCCTCGTTCTTCTCCCCCAAAAGAGAAGTACCAGACGTAGGAAATTAAGAAGTTAGAAAGGAGTAAAGTTAGACAAAATAAATACTGATTAGTTGTTCCCTCTGCCCCAATGTTTACATTTTAACACCACTGGTTGCAATTTCTTAGGCTTGTTTCATAGTTTCTGCTCAACAGGGACAAAAAACATTCCTCTTTGGTACAAAGGTAATGACCTGGCAAAGAGCTCCAGGAGCATTTTGGATAAAATATTTTTAGGCATCATTAAGTTATTTTCTTGGAAATATTAAAAAATTCCACTTTGCTCCCTTCAAACATGGTGTGTGTTCCCAATCATGTAGAACTTACTAACGGAGAATAATAGAAAATGAACAAATGAACTGCCAACTGGAGTTATAAAAATATTTCCATTTTAGCCCTCTGAACCACATAAGGAATTCAAATTAATTCCTAGAATGTCTTTATATTGCTTTCTAATGTTCTGGAGGGTCTGCTTTAGGAAAA